TGTCTATAGCAAATGATTTTGCAGGTGAAAAATTAGGCTCAAGAGAAGTTATATATATATAGTTTGTATATTAAATTAATACTCATTTTATTAAACGCATACATCTACATACACATTATGAAAAGTGTGAAGTCGTGCGCATTTATAAATACTTAAAAGAATATTAATTTTCTTTTTTTTATAAATATTCATACTTCCGACTAAAGCTAATTACTAAGCTGATTACAAATTAGTACGCATTTTTCGCAATCATTATATTCCTTTTCATTTTCTGTTATTTCATTATTAACTTTTTGGTGGCGCGCATTTTATTTTTAAATTTTAAATTCTTCAATTTCGTTGCGGCTGCTCATTAGAGCGACACAAAATAGCAACAGCAGGCGATGCCATCATTATTTAGCGCAAAACATTTGTAAATATCTGTCGACTATGTACGCAACTACATGACAATTTATACATATACACATACATTCAAATATATGTATGTGTACATGTGTGTTTGTACTGCACTCTTTAACCTATTTCGGCGTTTACAAGATTTAGCGATCGCCTCCCAATGCATTCGCTGGCGAGATCGCCGTCGATGCAACAACAACAGCAATTACAACAATATGATGGCACACAATGACACCACTTAAGTGATCATCAAAATGAAAGGAACGGTCAGTTGGCGAGCTGGCCACCTGTCGTTGTCTGTTTCCGCCGTACGACAGCAACCGAGATATCAACAGCGAGCTGCTATAGCAAAAGCGGCAGCAACAACAATATGTTCAGTCAAAATAGCGGTAAAATTGCTTATATTTGTTGACACAGTTATAGTCAAAAATTTTCAATCTTAAAAAGTCCTGTAAAATCTCAATTTGATCTCTTTGGAGTACGAAACAAAGTTTACAGTTTTAACTCTCTAGAGATACTTAATTTGGTAAAATATAAGGAAACTTTGAGTTGAATATAAATGCCTAGAACTAATGCCACCACACCCACGTTCATTTTCAGATTAGTCTAAGCTTGCGACGGCACTTGCACCACAGTTAATGAATTCAATTAAATCCCTCCCCTCGTTTTCCAATTTTTACGGTTTACATTTATAATTCGCGGTACGCTTATAATATATAAAATTCACGGTACGAATATACGGGTGCTAGAACCAAAAACCTCCAGTGCTATATTCCAGAACCTGTTTCTGATATTTATACCTTGACCTGGGTGTATTAAGTTTTCCACGAAGTTTGTAACACTCAGAAGAAAACGTAGTAGACTCTGTAAAATATAAATATACTTGTATAAATGCTCAGCATGACGAGCGGAGTCAATTTAGCCATGTCTGTCTGTCTGCTCGTCTGCCTGTCTGTATATACGCGAACTAGAGTATCAGTATTTGAGATATTGATCTGAAATTTTGTGTACGTGCTTGCCTCTTCAAGAAGCTGCTCATTTGTTGGAACCGCCGGACCACTAAAGCATATGTGGTAGCTGCCATACAAACTGAACGAACAAAATCAAATTCTTGTATGGAAAACTTTTTGATTTGACGAGATATTTTCTCGAAATTCGGCATAGATTATTGTTAAAGGCAATAGTGCAATTCCGAAGAATTTATTCAAATCGGATCCTTATAGCATATAGCTGTCATACAAACTGAACGATCTGAATAAAGTTCTCGTAAGGAATCTTTTGTATTTATGAAAAGTATTATAGTTTCGGTGCATCGAAAGTTAATGTTTCTTTTTTTTTTTATTATGCTTCGACCAAACGTGCCTCTCCACCGTTTCGGCCCACTGTGAGCGTCATTGCGCCTCATTAGTCGTTTCACCTGAGTTGCACTTACAGTGTTTGGCCAATTGTTATTTATGGCCGTTCCGAAATATTAACAAGTGCGAATGTGAAAACGCGAATATCTATCGGTTACGTTTCAATTGCCAACATTAAACATTTATACACTCGATCATCAATAAAATAACGTCATCATCGACAACATCTTCGAATAAGACGAGCAAATTAATAACCACAATTTCACCAAGTATTTTTGTTTTTGTGCGAGCAGCCAAATGTTCTTTCCTCCGAATTAGTGCATAGGAACATAAATTGTGAAAAAAGAAATAAACAATGAAAACATCAATTAATTTCAGAATTTTTTATTCGCTGAAAGCACATTTTACACACACAAACACCACAGTTCTTTTTTGGTTATAATTGAGTTGGAAAAAGTGGAAAATAAATTAGAAATAAAACTTATGCACGCGCCAAATATTATTAATTGTGTGTTTTATTAAACTCATATATAAACAAATAATAATAAAAAAAGAATTAAAAAGAAAAAACAACACTAATGATAGATTTGTTTATCATTGTGAAAAAAAATTTAAATAATAAAAATATTAAGGAAGAGAAATATCTTTTCGTCATAAACCATTATTCTTTGTGACTAAAATACAAAAGCTAAATAGAATTTAATACAATATTTATTGCAAATAACCTGAATATGTGCATATTAAAATGAATGTATAATTTAATTAAATATGTTGTTAAATATTTTCAGTTAAATTTCTAATTTTATACTTTTCTTTGTTTCTTACAATATATATATTTGCACTCTGAAGATCTGTAGATTTCCCAGCTTCAACCACTTCGGAGACCTTTTAGAGATTTTTTTAACAGGCATTTAACTTTATAAATAAATAAATGTACATTTACAGAATTGTGTACTTTAATGATCAGCGATTCATTTTTAAAATTTTCGGATTCCCTTGATCCCACAGCCAATCTAAAAGAAGATCTACACAAAAAAAATGTCAGGAAGGGAGGAAGATTTTTCTGCTTAAAATTGTCTGAGATCCAAAAACCAAAAAAAAGTATTTCGCTACAGATGAATACATATTCGTTTTTGACAAAATGGCAGTTTCCCAAAAAAGTGTTTTTTTTTTGAGAAAATTTCATCTACAAAATGGCTTAAACAATCGAAAATATTAATCTTTCGTCTCGGAGAAATTTTCTACACTGACTCTGAAAAGGTTTCGAAAAACTCGTTTAAAGTTTTGGGAGTGTATTACACTATTTAATTTCATTTAAATGTTGCGTTGATCTGTCAGCCTTGAGCAATTGCTTATACTTACTTACAAATAATAAAATTTTTAAATCAAAAAAGCAGCTGAGTATTGATATTCTCAGTTAATTAAAGTATGTTAAAATAAAATACAAAACTTGTCTTTAAGTTCAATGGAAATAATTCATGCCTACATTAATGAAGTAATTATGAAAGAGCAGAGTCTGTAGATGGCCTTAATTGAATCAAAAATAAATAAAAGAATCATTGTAATGAGTACTCAGCAGTAATGCACGTTGCACTGCATGTAAATCAACGAAATTAATTTGCCAACCAAGTGCTGAACGAGAAGAAAGGAAAATAAAAGAAATGAAAGAAACAAAACAAAGTAACGTGACATTCGCTCATGGCAATCAAAGTGAAATCCAAACAAATCAATGAGTAGTGTAAATTAGCAAACGAGCCCACTCATTTCGCCTTTGGGGCGCTTCCAATCAATCGCCATGCTGAATGGGGAAAAACAAACAAATCGAATGTAGAAATTGAAGAGGAAATTTTAAGCACGAAATACAAAGCGTTGTATATATGTATGTACATCTTATATATTGTATAGTGTACATATATTTTATAAGGGTGAACGTTTATTAACGGATATTTTCTCAAAAATGATGAACACGTGTTTTCAAACTCGGGTTTTGAAGCAATTGAGTAGTGAAAAAGTACTAGAATTCTCTTCCAAACATTTCCAGCGAAGAAAAGGTGTGATTTTGATAATAATAACGTCGTAAATTTTTACAATTGACACTGGTAATTTCATTATTTTGACTAAAAATCTTTATATAAATTTAGAAAAGGCTTGCTGAATTGTATGAGAACTCATAGTAATCTCTTCTCACATAAGAACCTGACAATCAAATCATTGGACTTACGAGTATATTAGGCGGTTATGAGCTGGAGACTTACGTTGAGGTTAAGAGCACACATAGTGTGAAATTTTTTACAAAATCTATTTTTTTTTTTTCTTTGAAAGTAACATACAAAAATTTTCGTTTGATATCTCAAATAATTTTAGAGTTACAGCTTTCTAGAATATAACCACTCAGTTCAATCAGCTCCATCAGTTTATCTTTTAACGCGTTTTTCTTGCAATAGCATATTTTGAATTTGCTGCAGTCATTACACGAAGACATATAATCCGAACACTCTCAAATATGTTTTGTATTTAATTTTTTTCTTCAAAAATGTTATTGTGTTTTCTTAAACTATGTATAAATATAACCCAAAGCATTACGAAAGTTTTCAAAAACTCCCCCGTTATCAATTCCGCCAATAACCTCTAAAAATATATTTCTGTCGTTGGCGAAGATTATCATTAGCTTTCGATAAGTTGCAGGAAAGACTTACCCGACCACCCTACTGTACATATAAACCAAATAAATAAAAAGAAACATATCTTTGCCACACTTGCGGTTTTTGTTTTTATTTAATTTTCATTTCTTTCATTTTTTCGTACGATTTCTAACACGCGCATTAAAATAGCATTTGGCGACATAAAAGTGCCTCATACGCCCCGACATCCGCTGCACACCATCAAATACACACACACTCACACTTAAACTGGCGTGGCGAAAAGGAATTCGTTGTTCAGCAAAACAACAACAAGCGCGCCAGCGGGCGAACGCGACTGAACGGGGGGAGTGCGAAATTTGTCATTAAAAACTGAATTATGCTTAATAAATTTTTGAATAAAATTGGATGTAAAACAGACAGTGCGAAAATAAACAGCAAGAAACGAAACGAACTAAAAGCAACAATAAATTGACGCAAACGTGTAAACAAAACAAATGAAACGCAATGCATCGGAACGTAGCGTAAACGCCAACAATCAGCAAAAGAAACGTGTAGCTGAGGAAGTTGTTGCTGTAGGAAAGAAAAGGCGCGTTTGCACGCTACTTACCTTGGATTTCTGATGCATTAGCTGCTGAAGCGAACGGCGCAACGGCTGCCACTGTCTCTGTCGCTGTCGCTGCCGCCGTCACTGCCACCGCCGTTGTGTTTGCGTTTGCTGCGCTGCCACCTACACGAGCGCCGCTATTGGCGTCAATTCACGCGCCGTCGAGCACAGCTGCGGCTGCGGCTGCGGCATCTATCGAACGGTATCGGCAGAGCGCTGCTGTTGGATGCCGCCTGCTCCTGACGTCTATGCTGACGTTGCGGTGATCGTGCACGTTTGTATATGCGTATATGCGTATGTGTGTGGTTTTATATGCCGCGTTCTTGTTGATTAAATTTCGTATTAATCGACGTTTTAATATTTATTTAATGCTCCGTCCGCTTTACCGCTTGGCATATCTTCACTGTTAGCTGTCTCTCTGTTTTATTATAATTATTATTAATATTGCAATTATATTTTTCTGCTCGGCTCTGCTTCACTACTGCTTGGCCAACGTTTTAATTGCTTACTACTGCCTTGTTGCTGTTGTAGTTGTGTGCTTTTGTCGCACTAATTACAGTAGCATCGCGCTGGACGTGGCAGCTGGCAGGAAAGTGTCACAGCCACTGTTAACCTCTTTGGCCCCACGCGTGCCAGCGAAGTTGCGGATGTAGGGAATTGTTGTTGTTGTACGAAGTGTATGTATGTGGGTGGGCTCTGTCGCCTCTGCCTTCCAGTTGGCTTAATGCAGCTGCTGTTTACTCTTCGTCTTCTTCTTCTACTCGTTCTTCTACTGCTCTTCCTTTAGTTTGTGGCGTGTTATGTTTACATGCACACACACATACTTATATTTTTGTGTAAAAGCCTCTGCGTTATTTGTGTGTTTGCCTTTTTGTTTCAGGGCCTATGAATTTTAATTAGGTACGTTCAGCGTATTTTCTCAGGAGCTCAATTGAGTGCGTGGAGTGCGTTTGAATTGAAATTTCTGCCTCCCCACCTGCCTGCTTGCCAGCCTGCGTGTGTGTGTAGCTGTGTGCGTTGCGTTTCCTTGTTTAGTTTTGGATTTGTTTTTATTTGTATACGCTTATTTTTGTATTATATCATTACCGTGTGTTGTTGTTGTTATAACTGCAGCACACTTTGTTATTATACCATTTCATCACTGTTTATAACAATTTGCTGTTGTTTTTCCAATGGTGGCTCTGCTCAGTGTTGCCGCCCGGCCTTTCAACACTTTGTGGCAATTAAATACTCGTTCATTTGTCACTTTTTGCGGTGTGTAATAATTTTATTGGCTTTTCGGTAGTTTATGGCTTTGTCAGTATGCGCATGAGTGTTGTTTTAATAATTTTTTTTTAGTTTTTATTGCTGCTTTTTTTCTATTTTGTATTTATTTTAATTTGAAATCATTCAGTCTGTTTGGGTTTTTTCTTTTTGGTTGCACGCACTCTGTTTTTGATTGATTTGTTTATGAATATAAGCTTAACATTCGTATTGGTTGATTTACTTTAAAAATACACATATATATATATATATATATATAGCTATTTTAAAAGTTAGTTGAAATACTTTGCTGCTGCCTTCGCATCGTTTGATAGTTTCAAATTGGCTTATAATATACTATAATTATTTGTTTTAATTTTTGTTTTTTATTTACTTTTTGTAATGTAAAGAGGACGGTCGTTTATTTCGAGTAAAATTACGTTAGTCTAGGCTTAAAATGTACAATAAAAAGTTTAAAAATTAGACACATGCCATTGCTCTGTACCCTGCGATACTGCGCCCCTCCACCTAATGTGCTTAATTTACGGTTAAAAGTCTTTTCTAAGACCAAACACAGTCATTAAGTTAAGTTCGTTAAGTTCCGTTCACATTTAACCTCAAAACACGCTTACAGCTGTTGAGATTTGGAGATACGGTTAGATTTTATTGTAATGCTTTAATATTCGGTTGTTTAAAGAGTTTAGTTGTTGTATTTGTATTACCTCAGCATCTGTTAGATTACTATATAATTTATTAGTTATTTCGGGTAATAATTTTCTTGTAAATCGCACACACACACAAAACTGCGTTTAATATTTTAATTAATTACTTTTTTATCGTAATTTCATTTACCAGCTACAATACTTCTTTGTGACAACAATGAGTTTTATTATGCGCTCGGCACAATATGCTTTCATGCGTGTTTATTAAGCACACACACACGTACACATGCTAGTGCAACTGCTGCGTGATTATGTTAGTTTTGCTTTTATTATGATTTTATTAATTAAAATTTTCAATTAATGCTCTCCATAATAATCTACAATATTTTATTTTAATTTATTATACTTTATAACGGTTATATTTGTATGTATGTAGTGTTTATTTGTTTTAAATTTTAAACTTTAAGTCACACCTAAAATTTCACAACCACACAACGTGAGAGTACTCGGGAAGGGGAGGATTTGGAGTACGAATAGTGGTTTCTCCACCGCTGTCACTAGCTCTGCCTCGGCTGCTGCCCTCGGCTGCTGCCCTCGGCTGTGTTTACTTATTCAACTTCAACTTCAACGTTTTTGTTTTTGTTGTTGTATGCATATTCTCTCGTTTATTTCTGGTAATTTTTCTATATTTACGCCACTATTCTGTTAGTTTACACTGCGTTGCGGACTGGTTTGCTTTTGCTATTCGAGATTAATATATGTACATACCATACATACATACATATGCGCTTCATTATATATGTGTTTTTGTTAAATTGCTAAGTTTATATTACAACCAAGTTAAATATGCAAGTTTTGTATTGTCTTCAACAAATTGATTTTCTTGGGTTTGACAGTAGTGCGTTCACTTTTTTATTGATTGCCCGTTTTCACCTACTGAAGGTTGAAGATTTTAGTAACAAATTAGTTATGAAATTTCTTACAAAAGCTCCGATTTAATATTAAGAAAACAAAAACACACAATTTCAAGTACGTTGTGCCACTTGTGTCATTACGAGCTTAAGCTGAGTGCAAAGCGCAGCGAAGAGCAAAGAGTAACGCAACAAAAGAAAACATACCACTTAATGATGAGCTATTTAAATTTTACATTGTTTATCAAAACTGCCGCTTAAAATAATTAGAAAATCTCTATGATATATTTATCAGAGGTCGTATGAAAGTTGCTTATGTCAAGTATGACCACAACGAAAAGCTAAATAATGTAATTTCCTATAAGAAGCTACAAAGCAAACTCTAAAAGTAATTATAATAAAAATACCATCGATTCTAGATTTGAATGTCGTATATGACTGCACTTTTTATTGCAAAAATTTAATTTTGTCGAAACGAAAATTAAACGTCAAATCAATTAGGCCACCTAAAACTTCTATAGTGGATAATTTCCTTTAATTTCAGTTAAGCTATTTTCTTTTATAACCACAAACATTTTCATTCTCCAAACAATTGAAATCATAAAAGTCAGCAAAAAACTGATTGCAACCCTCTAAGTAATCAGGGTTGCAAATATAACACAAAAAAAATAATAGAACCGCTTACCGCATTAAAAATTTATGTTTAGTTTTTAATTCCAACCACCGGATTGAAAAATAAAACTTTCAATCTGAAGCATATATGTTAATTAAGAATTAAAAACAGAATTTACTTTAGAATTCACATTTTTTCGAATTCTTTTAAACCAAAAAGTAATATTTTCAATTTTCAATCTTAAACATTTTGAATTAAAAAATGAATATATAATTTTTAATCCCAACATCGAGAAAAAAAATAAAATTTCAATTTTTAATCCTAATTTTTATTTAAAAATGTTCAACCCTCTATGTAACCATGATTTGATTTTATTTTTATAATATTAATTTCTTATTAAATCTTTCTCTTAATATGTTAGCACTCTTAGTGTGACCGCCTACAAAAACGATGCATTTTTTGGAATTAAAAAGAATTACCTACTGCTGTTTTAAAATTTTGAGGATATATTTCTACATTATTGCTGAATATACACAAACATTTTCAATAAATAAAAGTTATTTTTAAGCGAGTTATTCACCATTACATAATTACTACCAAAATAGTGTTTCACTCATGCAGTAATTGCGGTCTTCACCGTGATTCTGTAAGTTTTTGCCTAAATAATGAGATGTACGAGTGTTAAAAAAAATTGAATTTAACAAAATGGCAAACTTTGAAAAGAAAATATAGAACTTTGATCAGAAAATAGATGATTTATTCTCGCTAAAATTACAATTTTCATACAATCGAGAAACTGTAAAGAGAAACATATACAGAATAAACAGAAAAAATTAATCGTGTGACTTGTCTTTGAGTTACAACTGTTCTCAATTAAAATAAAAATAGTTTTGAGAAAAACTCACTTCAAGATATGTAAACTGATAGCGTTAATTGAACTGAGCGGCTGTTACTCAATTACTATTTGAGATATCGATTTAAAATTTTAGTACGTTATTTTTAAAAGTGTATACTATCGAAAAAAATACAATTTTTTCGAAATTTCACACTAAGAGGGTAACTAAATGCAAAACTGAAAAATATAAAGCGTCAAATAAAAAATCATAAACCGGAAATATATCTTATATTTTTTTTAATTTTTATCAAAAAATAAAAAATATGATGCAATTTTTCCTTTCACTCTCATTGTATCACTTTCTTTCATTTCATTCTTCGTTACGCTATCGGCTCAGCCTAATTTTCCGTACTAGCGAGAACTGGATTTACTTGTTTTTCAAAAACGCTATTTTGTTTATAAGAAACGTGTTTCATATTTCGCGCTGATATTTGTGTATATAACTAAATATCACTCATTTTATTGTTCTATTACATTTTAAACTGTAACTCAAGCACCAATTACACACAAATCTAAAGGAAGAGTATCACTGTCTGTAGCCGATCTCTAGAAGCACCTTCTCAAAAAGGTTGCCAACAGTGAGGAAGATTTTTCTGCATAAAATTATCTTAAATCAAAAAACCAAAAAAATTTAACATTATAATAGATGAGTATAGCTAAGAACTAGTCAAAATTTTGGCTTTTCACAAAATTGTGACTTCTCAAAAAAAGTAGTTTTATGTAAAAAAAATTTACACTTTAGAGTGGTTTTAAAGAACGAAATTATTATCGAAATCTTATTCCGAGACGGTTTTTTCAAGTCATCGATTTTTTCTATATTATAATTCTTTGAAAATCGCAAAATATGATAGGTGAGAAAGCAACACAATTTGATTCAATTCATTCATTTTTTTTTTTATAAGCCCGGCACAATTAACTTGGAGTCCGGACCTTGACGATTGGTCAGCTAAGTCTAGCTGCTTCGGAGAATATTTGGAAAACAACAAAAAAAAAATTCCTGATAACGGTTGCTTCAATACAGCAAGTCAAGTTAGATAGGCAGAATGATATTTAATAGAATATAGTAGGGGGGTGATGAGATGGACACAAAACGGCAGAAAGGCTTCAGCAAAGAACCACAAGACTCATATTTAGATAACCGGAAATAACCCAGCCAAATACTATTAACTCAGCCACTTTCCCATAGTACATATGAAGGAAGTCATAAGTTAAGATTTCTGTGATATTGATGCAGTTATAGCACAATAAATAAGGCGAAGCATAAAGGAAAAAACAAAATATGGAAAATTTATTGCTATGCTTTGCTAATTTTGTATTATTATTATTTTACTAACCAAACTCTTAACAGACAGCAACAAGACTGCCTGGTGCCTTAAGGTATGCAATATTTTTTGCGCACAGCTCGTTTTTTAAAGCCGTGCTTGTGTTTCAAACGAGTTATTTAAGTGGAGAAATGAGAAGATTGAATTAGTTTTTTACGCAAAATTCTGTGTGCTTTTGAAAACTGCGAATATATTATTTTTAAACAAATTTTGTTTTTATTAAAATTTACAGCTTTCAACATTTTCTTCGTTTGTGGAAGCGTTTTTAGTGCAATCAACTATTTATGGTTTCTCTTCAACTCCTCTTCAACATCTCTTCAATTAATAGCAATTTTACGCATACGTTTAACAGCAAAAAAAAAAAACAAAAACACACACACAACAGAAGCTTCGGCTGTTTTAGCAGCTGCCTGGCTTGAAAAAAAGCGAAAAAGTTTCGGTAGAGTGTATCATATATGTAAACATTTGATTTCCACCAGATTCCCCGTTTCAGCAACTCACATTTGTTTATCGTTTTCGTTGCTGCTAACTACCGTTTTTTGCCAGTTGTTCGTACTTGAAGTTTCATTGTTGCCAAAGAATTTCTAACTGTGGCAGCTGTTTTGTTTCTGCGAACGCACGCAATTTCAGCTACACATACATATATGCATATTAATGTGAATGTGCATATATAAATATATATGTGTGTGAATGTTCACAGCATCCCTAGCTCAGCGCAAAAAACTGTACTTCAGCGCGTTTGCAGAGTACACATCAAATTGCGCTAAAAGCCGAAGGCTAGCAAAGCAATCGATAAAATATACTATATCACACACACATACAGACACATACAAATGTGTTAACATTTTGCTTATATTATTTATATGCGCAAGTCCTTGCACGTGTGCGAGTGTGCGTGCATTTGTAGCAGCTGCCCCAACCCAAACGGCCTAGACACAACAGCGCCCGCCTCTTCTCAAATTACTCCCAAAGCACAGCTTAACAAACGAAAACAACAAGAACACAGCTATTATATCGCACACGTACGCACCCACGCACGCGCTGAGCACTCAACACACAATCATGTACTTAAGAGCCTCCTTCCCCTCTTCTGCCTCCAACACCGAGGGCGCTGCCCCAGCCGTGCGTGAAACTCCAATATCGCAGGCCCAGGCGCCTCGTATTGCCGTTGAAACTGGTCGCCGATAGGCACTCGAGCGCGCGGTGTGGCGCAAGCAGCGCGCAACTTTCTCGCTTATGAGAGTCTATATGTATGTATGTATGTGTGTATGTAAAAGCACAAAACTACAATGCTCCACATGCTTATCTTTTGGGCGCGAGTGTGTGTGTGTGTGTGTATAAAATTATTTGTAAGTTGAGTTTGCTTATGCTTCGTATTATATTTACTATTGCTCAGCAGTTTTTTGTGAAAATATATGTTTGATTGCGCCTGCTACGTATACGGACCGAATATTTGGTTTTTCTGCTCTTTCTTGCTTTCTTGCTACTTTTTTCGTTCATTAAATCGTTTGAGTAAATTTAATTTTTCCTCTAAACATTGCACCCTTACCGACAATCTCACACGTTTGTGGGTTTTCGGGAAAAGCAATTAAAAAGTTTGCTTCCACCAAAGCAGCGATGAACGCTCTCCCCTCCTGCGCAGTTCCCTCGAGCTGTAGCAATGATAGCAGCATATCTAACGGTATTTATTGTAAGCAAAGCAAGGCACAACGGCATTTCTTCACGCGCAGCACAATTTAATGTCGTAAGCTAATTTGCACAAATTTCGAAATAATTTAGTATTCCAACAAATTTCACGGCGTATTTTCGAAAATTATGCCGCTATATATACATTAATGTATGTACAGATACACTGCTGTATGGTACACTACTTTGCTTATGTTTATGAAATTTAAAAATGAATATTCATAAAATTTTCATAGATCTGCTTTTAGACAAAATAATCTCGAGTTGAGATGCATTAAGTTAAGATTTTCTGAGTATTTCTGCTTTCACATTTTCAATGGCTACCGGGAAGGTGAAAATTTTAAGTTCGACATTAAAGACAGCTTTTAAATTGTTCTCTTCAAAATTTTTCAAAACCGAGCTAAGATATTTTGTATCAAGATTATATCTTTTAAGGAGATCGAGCTCCGAAAAGCGGAGTCGTGAATGAAAAATTATATTCATTGTATTTACCATATACAGTAATAAAA